GAATTTTAATATAATTTCTAATGACCCCATTTCAAGAGGGTTCTGGAAAAAAAAACTTTCAGAAAAAAACATTAAATGCAATCTGCTTTTAAGGTAATTCTGATGTGTTTTAGATTTCTTGTGAAGCTTGATAGTTTTAAGTAGAATTTCATGAAACCCTCAATTAAATTAAATCTTTAATGAAAACTCTGAAAATTTCTGAGGAGCACAACTCCATCAGAGCAAAATTCCAAGGGTCTTCTGAGGATAATTTTGTGTTTGTAGGAGAAAACGAATCTTGAGCATAAGTCCTTGGAATCTTTTTGAAAATACTAAAAGGAGGATTACAACTAAATCTGAGAATAACTCCAGAACATCTTCAAAGGAATTCGGAAAATAAATTCAGGAGATAGAGAAGAAATCGAAGAAATTTGTGGGGATTGGATAAATTGTTGTTGTTTTTGATCCTTCAAAAAAGCATAAACAGCAAACAGCTTTTTTATTATAAACCAGGAATTTATCCATTAGAGTACTCGAAAAACCTGGGAAACTCAGCTAATTTTATTTACAAAAATGAGTAGACATAGAAAGACGATTAAACGCCATAAAGCAAAGAATGATCAATCTTGAAATGAATTCACGCTAAAAAGTTGAAAATAGTGACTGATGCGAAGAAAAAGTGACTTTAGTTAATTGGCTTTAAAAAAAGGGACTTTTTAGTGACTGGCAGTGTTGGCTAAATCATCAATCAAATAATATTTTTCCACTCTCATACGCTCTCAATATCACGCGTGATATTGGAACCGAATATCATGCTTGATATTGATTTTACAAGCTCCTTTGATATTGCGAGACTATTCACAACGCACAAAAATCAAGCTGAGAGCTGACTCGACACAGAAATTATTCCGTTCCACATCGTTTTCTTGGTAAGAGAAAGTATAGTTTGCTATCTCTTTTTAATCTTCACCGATGACTGCTGCCAGCCGTTATGGAAGATTCGGTTGCATTCGGGTGTATAGCAATAATCATTAAACTCAATCTCACCACAGTTTGGTGAGATTTGCAGTTGGTGAGTTTTGTTAGCTTGATATTCCGAGCTGCGATATCACAGCTTGCGAAATCAACCGCAGATGTTGCTTGTTGATTTCTGTCTACGAAAATCAAGGGTGATCTTGGGCACTGGTTAGGTTTGATTATTTGATATTTTTCCAACACTGGTGACTGGCTTGAAAAAAGTGACCAAGTCACTAAAAATTTGGAATTATTTTTGATTAACTTTCTATTTTGTGAGTCTCTGGAGATTTAATTTGAATTGTTGAAGATCTTCAGAATGAAAATCTGTTTAACCTGAAGTCTTGGAAAAATATCCAGAACGCTTTACGAAGATCTTTGATCGTCTAACGGCTTTTGAAATAATGTTTGATCATTTTGCTACCTTTTGAAAATATTTGAGAGATGTCATTTGAGTTGTTGTACAGTTGGAGATCTTAAAAAAACTTGATTAACCTGAAGGGATGGAAAAATATCCAGAGGAATTTATGGAGATCATTGATCTTCTGGAGATCTTTGGAATTATTTTTTTATTAACTTTCTATCTTGTGAGAATATCTGAGAGATGGAATTCGAATTGTTTGTCAGTTGGAGATCTTCAGCAAAAAAAAACCTGATTAGCCTTGAGGCTTGGAAAAATATCCAGAGGATTTTGGTTTAATTTATAATCATTTTGCTAACTTGTGAGAATATCTGAGAGCCATAATTCTAATTGTGGAGAGGGCTTTACGATCTTTGATCATCTTGTAGTAGATATAAGTCTCATGTTTTGATATTGTTAATTTATTTATTTAACATGAGACTTTTATCTACTACAACTACGGCCTTTGGAATATTTGTTGATCATTTTGCTACCATGTGAGAGTATCTGAGATACGTGATTCAAATTATTGGACAATTGGAGATCTTCAGAAAAATTCCTGATTAACCAGATGAAACTTTGTAAACTTTTCAGAAGTTGAGTTTTATGATTTAACTGAACTTTGTAGAAGATCTCTAAACTATGTGAAGTCGTCTGATTTTTAGTGAAATTCTCTGAACTTTGTATACAATTCCATAACCTCGTGGAGGTGTTTGTTAATTTGGTAGTAGTTCTCTGAACTTTAGAAGATCTCTGAGCTCTTTATCCAATCCCCAGTAGTCCCAAAGCCGTATTTAGAAAGACAATTGTTTGCGCTTAAGCTGTTAGTCGGAATTTGCATTTGTAAGAAGGACCATATGGATTTCTAAACCCCGATTCCGAAACAAATTTCAGTGAATATTCCCAATAAAATACAACTAGTGAAAGAGTTTTGTAGACAATTTATATTTTATATTTCCTTTCAAATATTGTGTGAATTGATAATTATTTAACTAAATTGGGCGCTCGAATACATGTTTGGCCAACACATCTCGGTTAGCGTATGCGGATCGCGTCGCATTGTTGCCTCTTTGAAGGGCCGCAGAGTTGATACTTCTCAGAGGATCAACTAATGTACGCCATTCACCAGGTTCACTAACGTTCCCATCACCATCAACTTGATCTACGAAGCATGGCGGGCAGTAATCATTCGCTGAATTCCTCTTAACAAAGTTGTGCAAAATGACACAAGCTTTCACAATTTTGTCAACCGAGCCTGGAAGCATAACTAATGTGTTCTTCAAAATCCTCCACCTCGCCACTAGAATTCCAAAGCTGTTTTCGATGGTTCTCCTGGCTCTGGACAGTCGTTGATTGAAGTTGTCTTGAATTGGAGGTAAGTTAACACCTGGATATGGCCGGAGCAAGTTCTTCTTGAGAGGAAATGCTGCATCCCCAACAATGAAATATGGCATCACTTCATTTGACCCAGGCAACTTGCCTGGTGCTGGCAAATCCAATGCGCCATTCACCAATCGCCTCCCAAATTCAGAATATGCAAATATTCCTCCATCGCTATTACCGCCATATCCTCCAACATCGATAGCAATGAAGTTATAATTTGCATCGCAAACGCCCATTAAATTTATAGAATGGAAATGTTTATAATTGAAAAACAACGATCCACTGTTCGGCGGACATTGGATTGAAACATGTTTTCCATCTATGGCTCCACAGCAGTTGGGAAAATTCCATTGATCATAGAACTCCTGGCTGTACATGCTCCATTTGTCTTTGTCAACTTCAGGCATATAGTCAACCACCAACGAATCCCACAAAACCTCGCAAACTTCGTACACTATCAACCGTACCGTTGATTCACCCATCCGGAATAGCCTCGAAGTCACATAGACAGAGGATCCATGAGCGAGGAACCTAGAAATTAAAAAAAAAACAATAATTATCATCAACATCTAATGTATTCGAATGTTTTATTTTATTTTGACTTTGTTATAGTTTTGGGTTTCGGTGGTTTGGTCCCCAAAGAGTTAATTGTCATCTAATATTTTGAAATTACTTACATAAGAGTCATAAACAATCTGCATTCCGGTGAAATCGGTTTCCGCCAAGAAAACTTTTCAAGACGACCACCAACCTTGCTCAGCAGTAAATCGAATGCATCTGGATTCATACGGACCGATTTAATAAAATACTCCGGATCTCTGTTCCTCATCAGCATATATTCCGTTTCAAAGAATCCTTCGGTATCGCGATTTTCATTTGATGGCCGAACCCACCACCTACAAACAGTATAGTTTAATTTACTTTCAGATATCTTCTCATATTAACATTCCCTGAAGACAGAGGGAGTGTAGTGGGGGGTTCCCACCCGCCGAATTTTTACGGCAGTTCTCCCACAAATTCAGTTGATTTTTTTTGTATGTGATTAGTGTCAATTACATATAATCAGCTACAAAAAAATATGCTCAATTGGTTGGAAGGCCGAGAAATTACAGCTCTCTTCAGGAAATTTTTATCATAAACACTAACCTGCGCGGAGTTCTACGAGGATGCTTTATAGAATAATTGATCGCCTTCCTCAATTCGTCCAACACTTGAAGCACCTCCAGAATTTCTTCCATTTCTAATAGAATTTTTTTCGGAGTTTTTTTTATATCAATTCTTTTGCCAAAACAAATGATTGCAACGAGATTATGCTACTGTCAAAACGCAACGCATGACGTATGATTGTGCGCATGCGCTGCGTCAATGCGTCCGTTAGCCTTTTTAGTACATGACGGATGCGTTGACGCTGACGGTGACGGTGACGGTGACGGACTATTGTGGGTGGCCCTTAAGGATTTTTAGCATTGCAAATTAAAGCATCTCCATCGGTAATTGACTTATTTTACGATCTGAGCTAGTGTGTACCTTAACTAGTCACACACACACAAAATCCGGAAGATCATAACCACTAAGGCATAAGAGATGAACTAGCCTATGGCTAAAAATCTCTCAAATAAAGAATAATAAAAAAAAAACAGTAAGGCACTTATTCTCATTTTCCATTTTTCTCAACAAAAATATGCCCAGAGAAATTTTTCAACCCGAAAAATTGCTAGACCAGAACGGGAATTGAACCCAGCCTTGCTTTATAGCTGCGCCTTTACCGACTGAGCTAAGACCTTTCCCACAGCTAGATCCCACCTATCACGTAAACACGATATCCCACTAATCAAGCGTCATAAGTATATTTTATTAAATAAATTTGACTCATTATTAATTGGAAAATTGCGAAGAAAATTGTTCATATTATCGTCTCTTCTAAGACTTCTAATGTAATAATTCCCGCGAATGGCAAATAGATATTAGAGGAGCAAGCGAAGACGACACACTTACTTTTCAGCCGCATGCACAATAACTTAAATCCATGCGTGAAAAATAAACAACGTAGGTTCCAAACATTCAAACGCTCACTTTATAATTGCCGTGTAAATCGACCAACATGGCCGACCAGTGATTGCTACGATACGTCGTCCGCAACGCAAACTGTTGCGTTCGGTGAACCATAGAAGAAGGACAAGTGAGCGTAACACTGTCGGTCGATCGGCCAAGTAGTAGCAGTAGCAGTAGCAGCAGCAGCAGTAGTAACAGCAGCAGGACGAAGAGAGAGAAAACAAAACAATCAAGTCTAATTTGTACAGTCCTTTTCGGAGAGAGGTTCGTTGTCTCCGTTCGGTATTTTTCCCGAGTTTGTACAGGCATAGAAATTTCCACTCGATTGAGCTGAAATTATGTGTTGCTAAACTGTGTGGTGTTTGCCGAAATTGCTTGATTTCGCCGATGGTTGGTTGTTGCTTGTCGATTGTTGATCGCGGCCAACTTGGATTGCAGTCAGCGGTAGTCATTTTTTCATCGTTTGCTACTTTGATCGAATCACTCGGTTCGATTGTCCAAGTGAAAGGCATAGAAAAAGAAATTTTCTTCTGCAACACACAAAAGAATAGAAAAGAAGCAAGCAAGACAAGGAAAGTCTTCGCTTAGGTAAGAAAGAGAAAAAGATCACGATCGGTCGAAGTGAACAGCACAGAGTGAAAGAAAAAAGGAACAAGAGTGTGTGTGCAGTGTACCTTTCAGAGGGAAGAAGAAGATTTATTTTTTTGACATTTTGATTTATCTTTTGCCTCTCTCGCATGTTGTGAGACATTTACTGTGCTGCTTAAATAGCAGTTTTTGTGTGGATTTTGGAGTCTACCAGGACGATTACTAGCTAGATCGGTAGCCGAAGAACGGAAGGAAATTGTATTGGTTCCGCTGGGAGATATCGAGATTCGACGCTTACTTCGTAGTCTACTGCTTCAGTAACCAAAAAAAGACACGGCTACTGCGTGACAGCTCCGAACGTACAACCCTTCTATGAGAAGTGGTGACCGCGGGAGGCGGGGAGTATCTTTTTTTCTGGCAACTCGGTATCCCAAAGGCAGCAACACTGAAGAAGTTAGTGCAAACACGTCTCAATATGATCCGAGATCCGGGTGCCGGTCCGCACGAAAGTCCAGGTAATGTTTTTTTTTTCTTGTTGATTTATTGACTCGAGAGTTGTTTCAAAGCTATTTAAACAGTAAGAAATCAATCGAAATTATTTGTAGAACCGCAACCGACGATCAAATATGAACGGATTGTATATGACATGCATCGACCGCCAGTGCCCGTGGCAGTGCCTCCAGTAACACCAATGGATCTGGACCTGGAAACACCGCTGGACATGACCGTGCGCCGAAAGGACTCTTCAGACCGACAGTCTGAGGCAAATGCCCCAGCTACGGTGGCTGATCATCAACCGAACTCCAACTCAGGCGGCGGAAACGATGCGCCGATCAACCTAAACACACGTCCCAGTGTGATAACGAAAGCCCCTCCGCCGCCCATTAAAAAGCGCATCAGTAGCATGCATAGCAATGGTAAGTTATCAATTTCGCCTCAATCCAGCCTACTAGGATTTTTACAATTATTCTCAATATTATCTGCCATTTTAGGTGAAATAGTGATAAAAAGCGCTGTGGGTGATAATCTTTCTCCGGTTAACTGTGACGTCTTCATCGAAGAACACTTCCGGAGATCGCTAGGTAATACTTATGCTTCCATCTATGGAAACAACAATAACAACAATCAGCAGAAAAGCAGTGGCAGTGATACCAGAAATAGTAGTACTAGCAGCAGTAGCAGTATTAGCAGTAGTTCCAGCAATAGTAGCAACAACAGCACCGCCCTGAGCACCAGCAGTAGCTCCAGTGGAATAAGCAGTGTTGCCAGTGTCGTTGGCGGTGGCACCAGCAACAACGCCAGCAGTCTCATTGGTAATAGTGTTAACTTTAGTGCTAGCAGCCAGCTTGGAAGCGTAAGTCCTATCGTTAGACATAATCACGTGATCCCATCAACAGTTGAGATCTCACCAATGCTTAATGTTAAGGTTGAGCCTGGCCTGGCCCAGTCACACGTTCGGCCGGAGCTTACAATTAAAACTGAGCCCGGTACCGTGCAGCACGTGAGGCCTGACTCCGAGGAGGAAGTCGATGATCATTTTGCTAAAGCTCTCGGAAACGATACATGGAAAATGATACAGGAGAAAAAGATGAACCTGTGAGCATTGATTACAATAAGGCACGGGGGTATCCAGCTTATGTAGACTCATGTCTATGTAAGCAATATTAAGGTTTAAACTAAACAAAACCGGTGTGGAAACCTGACAAGCAAGCAACAACAACGCGCTCTTTTTTTATTAGTGGAAATATCAACTTAATGTAAAGATTAAAATCAAGCAACATTGGTGGTGCCTCGAAAACTCGCCGAGATTACAAAGAGAGTCCAAGACTAGACTTTTGCGAGGCACGCGTGCGTTCCGTCGTGTCCCGGGAGAATGGTCAATTGTTAACACATTTATACCATTTTTTAAGAAAAACAAAAAAAAAATCAACCACTCGTACTATATTTACTAATGCTGATGTCTGTGTTAGGAACGCTTCTCTTTTTTTATATTATTACCTTTTTTACATCGTCACTTGTTTAAAACGAGCGCATTTACTAATTCCTTGTTGTTTGTTGTAAATGATATTTTTCTTAAGTTCCTGGTATAATTGTTTCCTGGTCCTAGGTAAATTCCTATTCCTATCCTCTTGATGTTTCCTAATGCGGGAGATCGATAAGAGCGGTTTCAAATCTTTCTGTAACGTAATACTAAATTTTTTTCCCATGTGATTATATTTACGTAGGGTTCTGTGCACGGTTTTGTCGATCAATTTGCGTCTTTCGTAACAAGTACTAATTTTATGAAATTTCATTTATTTAACATAGGATAAGTAAAGGATTTTTTGAAGCCTTTATGAATACTATGTCAAAGTTTTCCTGTCTATAAACAAAGCAACGGCCACTATGCTACCCATGTGAGATTTCCACAAACAGCATCACGTGATAAGAATGTGATCTAGAAGATTTTTGAAACAAAAATTAATTTCAAGGGCTGCGGATTGAACAGTCGAATGACTGAAAAGTCATTCAAATGAAGAAAAAAATGTCTAATATCCTGTTTAATTTGCGGGCAGTTTGATAAAGCTTTACTGTTGACAACTCATATATTGTTGGTTATCTGATTGAAGGTTATGAATGATGATAGTATTACTGTTAAAATTCAATGAATACATTCGGCCAATTTAGAGTAATTCAGTGCCTTGTTATCTTCTTGCGAATAGGTCCCGATTGCAACTTTGCCCTGCTTTAAATTTAAGTCAATTAGGATCTTTCTTATAGTACACAATTTTTAACTTATGATATTGTGTGAAGTTGAGATACAGTCAACTCTCCGCAACTCAATGGCCATTAACTTGGTGAATTTCACCCCGTAACGTGGGTAGATCACCTTTTAGTGGTACGTTACGGGATGTAAGATCTACCACCTATTTCCTTGTTACTTTTTATGCCTTGTTAATGAGTGACTCTTTGGGTTGCCTGGACCGAGAATGATCTTGAAGCAAGGACAAAAATAGTTAGTCTTCATCTATGTGATTCCTAATGTTCTATTCGATGTTCTCTAGTTTGAAGTGGTTAAGACTAGGGTTCTGATACATAGTCATTATCGGTATCATTGCTTAATTTGGTTGCTAAGGAACAAATTTTAGGCTACTGAGATAGTGACTTTCTATTGTTCTATAACTCGATTTTCCCTTCAATATCGTGTTGTAGAGAGTTCACTGAGTTCACTGTAACTGTCAGCTCTATGCTTTGATTTCAATTCAAAAATAAATAATTCTTTGAATATTTTCTCAGAGTGGTACACAATAATTTAAAAAAAATTTCTGGACTACATTTTCAACGCTGAAAAGGCAATATCTTCTTTGTGTTCGTTTGGAAATTTGAATAATTCTAAAACCTTGAATCATTATTTGAAAATTGTTCATTCCAATCACTTGGCACGCGCAAACATGGGAAGCGTTTCCATAATTATTATAAACGAATGCCACTTCTGAAATACCCTCATCTCAGGAAAAACGCGAGCGATAAAAATTCCTTAGAAACTGAAGGTGCTTTGATCATCTAAGAAACTTGAGAAATGCGTTTGCCACGCCTACTGACCGCAATGTTCCGGCATGAGTAATCAAAATCCATTGGTTTGATTCTCGTGAAACGGTGCTGCAGTGATATGATAGCATTTGAATTTGGTTGTTTTTTGAATAATTTTTACATGAATTCTAACCACCTTTTGGAGATTTATTAGTATACTTACCGCTAAATTGATTCAATAAATTGATCCCTTCAGCCTACTGCGCCGCGAGCTCCGAGAGATGCAAACACACCCATGCAGGACCAATCTTTCGCTCCAGTACTGATTTCGAATGGTGCTAGAGTGTATCGAATGCAATCTACTCACCTTTGGAAGCCAGTACTCAGGAAGATTTTTTTTTCTGGGATTCAATGCTCACAAATTTATCTCACCGTTCCTCCTTGTTCCTAATCCTTATTGTATTCCACCATTTAAACCTAGATTTATATTCTACACTTACCACACTTGCAATCAAACAATCAAAATGGTCGACTCTAGGAAAATGTGAAAATTTTGCAATTCGTTTTTCTTTTAATATATTTTCACTCTTTGTAATTGTAATAATGGAAGCCCGATTGAAGAAAAAAAAATAAGTAGTAACTTTTTTATAATCGCGAAACGAAGGCGTTTTCATATAATGTGTCTCAGATATTTCAATTTTTCTTTTTTTTTATTATTATCATCATCGAATAATCTTAGCATTAAGTTTTACAGCAAGAAAACCTTTACTTGAAAGTGAGTAAAAATCAAAAAAAAAATAACAAGTTCTCACACAAAAACAACTATTAACTTGTACCATCCATTGGGTTGAAAGTATCGTTATGTAAGTGTAAAGTTCTCGATGAAAAAGTAATAAATATTATTTGTGATAGAAACTTCCTTGAAAGATAAACGACTCCTTACGATAACTACACAATGATCACACAGCACTGATAATCCTTTTTAGACCAACCAAAATCCGAACGCTGAGCTCAGTGTAAACCAGACCGCCGCCAAACGACGACTGCGGTGAGCTGGCCGCGCAAAGGTGGGTTTAAATGAAAGTTAGTTGTTACAGGTGACAAATCTAGAACAAAAAGACATCCGATATACGGCCGGATCCCCGCTCGCGCTCGTTCACATACCGGAGAGGAATCACTTCAATGCCGAGTGTCTCCGTTCGAGAGTGGTTTGTGTGTGCGTCTTTTTCGATTGAACCTGTGGCTCACATCAACGGCAGGAGGCAAAACTATGGAGAAATAATAAAAACGGATTGAATTACAACCCGACCGAGGTGGTTTCCCCGCCGTTGGTAGCCACCTCTCACACCCCACTTGATCTTCGTTCTCTTTCTCTTGGTGGATCAGGAAACCCTTCGAGAGTTTAAAACTGTGCGAAAAGCACACGCAAATGCGAATCGAAGTACTTGTCAGGGGACGCAGTAGGCCACGGTGCTTGGAGTGTGGTAGGGTTTCCAGGGTTTACGCCAGAATTGAAAACAAGACGAATCCGAATCTTCTTCCTATCGTTTGATTTGTTGTGCTTCCCTCGGTTACATGACTATAGGTATGCGCACACGATTCGGTGAGTGAGTAACTGACTGACTGACTTGGTTTGGTGGTTGCGCCCATCCATCGGTGATACAGATTCGCACTTGTAATAGAATCCGGTTTTCCGATGCCAGAGTGGTCACATTTTGTAACACATCGCGCAGCAATAGGAATGAAAACCATACAGGTTTTCGCAGTCAGTAGGCTCTGACGTTGTTGGCATGGTGATGAGATTGTAATAGTCCGTCCCCTGGCGAAGCTGCGCTACTGCATTTGTTTAGAATGTGTTTACCGGCGTAGCAGTGCTTTAGCGAAATGTCAAGACATTTAGAAACTTTTCGACACATGATCCATTTAGAAATATGCATTGCAATCAAATCAAATTTTCATTTTCATCTATTTCTTTGTACTTTTCATTGTGAGATAGAGCTAGACACGCATAGTGCGTCGCAGAAAACATGGGGAAGCAATGTTGTTATAGTATGTTTTCTGGTAGCTGATATTTATACTCCGGAAAATGCGATGTGGCATCAAAGCAAAGGCTTCCGGATGTTGACTTACACAAAATTCCACACATTTTTACAGACGAATTTCCATGAGAAACTCCACATGATTTTCATGCGACCACACATAAACAGAATCCACTCAGAAGTACACATGAAATTTAGAAGTCAAATGAATTGTATGTGTGGTCACACATGGCTTTTATGTGTACACATATTAAGTATTGGTCCGACACATAAATATCATATGTTGTGTGTGAGACACATAAAAACAATCTTTAAAATTTTATTAGTGTATGGCTATGTAATGATTGGGATAGATCTGTTTAAAATCGTCAAACGTCAAAAATCTAAAGACGCTATTCCAATGAAATATACATGTTTTCCTGCATACTTAAATGACTGTCCAATAGTTTCTAAATGTCTGTTTACACGCGACATATCAACAAACGTCAAAAATCGTTAAAAGCAACTCCAATAAAATATATCGTTTAGCTAGGGGCACGCAATAACCTTTAATCAAACGCTGGCAACGGCTGTAATTAAATTAATTCCATTAACTACCGCATTAATTACATTAATTACACAATGTAGAACATTAACTATTTTTTAACTCCATTAATTACAGTTGAAATTTCGCAATTAAAGAACATTAATTACATTTTCAATACTTTGATTTACATTAATTAGGCCGGAACAAATCTCAAGTTTTTCTTTTGTCACCCCCCCTCAAAAATTTTGGAATATCATGAAAGGGGGAATAAAAAAAAACTTTCAGTGTATATTTATTTTTCGAGTATTGCTTTTTCATTTGGGTATGGATACTCGCTTTGCTAGATCTTATTATGTTGTAGAATATCACCTTGTTCTTTTACAGAATTTTTACATAATTTTGAACTAGACCAACACGGCATGCCAGGTCCTTGAAATCGAATCAGCCGGTTTCAGTTGTTGAAAACGGATTTTATCGAACTCATTCCTAATCTTTTTTGGCAACTAACTAGGTAAGCCGTCTTCAATCTGATCGATCCCTCTTGTTCGTTGCGCACATCTTCGTCTTGTTTCAGTCGGATCACTACCAAGAACCATTCTCATTGAGTCGTTATCTGACATTGTTACAATAGGCTCAGCCCAGCATAGTCGCCAGATTTTTGCATTCGATCTAAATTTCTTAACTTACAAACCTGCTGCAATGATACTAAATAATTAAATTCTTTTCTACAATGATTCAATCATTTCCGAGCTAAATCCAATCTTTTCAAAATTGGTTTAAATTTTTTAGAAGTGAGACCAAATCAGAAACGATTCAGGAAATTCCTAACTGAGGTGACACTTTTCAAAGCAGATTCAAAACTGAGTCTGAACTTTTCTGCTGAAGTGAGTTCAAACTTTCGAATAAGTCATCAACATTTTTCTAACTAAGTCCAAACTTTTCTGCTATGTTTTTCAGTCCTTTTTAAAGTTGTCACAGCTTTCCTGAAGTGATTCAACAAATCCCGAATCCAATCTTTGAAGAATTGGTTTCGCATTTGCTGAAGTGAGGCAACATTAGCTGATTTAATCCCTTTCCTAAATGAATCAAAGGTTTCCTGCATTGATTCAACTTTTTCCGAACTGTTCTTAACTGCTTTGGCATTTGGAAAAGACATAATCTTGTTTAGGTCATCTAGTTTTCTAAAACGCTGTACAGACTGGAGAGTTATAACATGTTATAACGGTTGTCAAATAATTGCAACACAGAAACCACCATCAAGATAGCGCTATAACATGTTATAACTCTGTAGTCTGAACGTACTATAACACTTTTTGAGCTTCTTCTTCTTCTTCTTCTTCTTCGCATTTCAAGCTTATTGCATATCGCATATTAGCTTATTGCGTGCTCTCAACTTAATGTTCTAGATGCACTTCCACAGTTATTAATTGAGAGCTTTCGATGCCTGCACCATTTTTGCATTGATATGATTGTGTGGCAAGTCCAATCATACTTCTATGCCCAGGGAAGTCGAGAAATTTTCCAACCCGAAAAATTCCTAGACCAAACCGGGAATCGAACCCAGCCACCTCCAGCATGGTCTTGCTTTGTAGCTGTGCCTCTACCGACTGAGCTAAGGGAGGCCCCTTTTTGAGCTTAAATTTTCCAAATGGAGTAACATCTTTTCTGAAGTGGTTCTTTAGGGAGTCCAAACTTTTCTGTTGAGTGGTTGAATTTTATTTAATGTTAGTCTGAACTTTTGGCGTAGATTCCGGTCCTTTAGACCGCTTCCTCGTCCTTGTGAGATTCACATCCTTTGAAAATTAGGCTGGAAAATGGAAGAATGGACTTCGTGTGTTCATACCGGATACTGGATTTTTTTTAAGCAAGCACAATTGTTGAGAATACTGGGTTTGCATCCACAAAAGTACTATTTTTATAGAAATTTGGGTTTCTTGAGCAGCCAAGATGGATTTTGGCTCTGTCCTTGGAAAAACAGGCTTGGATGTTATAGAAAAGACCTCCCAAGTAACATTGCAGGTTTTATCGAGGTAAATCATGGTCTACAGAACCCTCATAAAACTAAAATTGTTACTTGGGCTTTGTGAGTTCATTAGTTATGGTAGATTTGTTTGAAGCCAGGTTGGATTTCGGTTCAATCGTTTGAAATTTGTGCTTGGATTTTATTGAATGGAAGTTGCTGAATACCGGACGAACGAACCTGGTTAATATTCACAAAAGAAGGTATTTTCATAAAAAATAATTTTTCTGTTTTGTCGAACTGAGTTTTGGCTCCTATCTTTGAAAAATAGACTTGTTTTTTTTTATAGAATAGAAGTTACTGAACCCATACGTGAGGGTTGAATTTCTTCAATTTTTGGATGGATAAAATGGATCTTGCTGAATGCATACGGGATGATACATTTTTTGAAGCATGCACTATTTTTTTAGAAAACTGGGTTTGAACTCTCAAATGTACGTATTTTTATAGATACTTGGGTTTCTTGTTCAGCCAAGTTGAATTTCGGCTCCTTCCTTAGAAAAATAGGCGTGGATTTTAAACGAATTGCTGACTCCATACGTATTTTTATAGAAATTTGGTTTTTCGGTTCTGCCAAATTGCATTTCGGCTCATATCTTTGAAAAATAGGCTTTTATTTTATAGAATGGACCTAGCAAAATCCATAAGTGAAGGTTGAACCGGGTTTGTAATTCGAAAAGTGCTAAGTTGGATTGTGATACTATCCTTTGAAAGTTATGCTTAGATTTTATAGAATTGACCTTGCTGAATTCAAATGTGATCATTTTAAGCACATTCAAAGGCAGGCTTAAATTGACAAAACTAAGTATTTTTGTTAAAATTTGGTTTTTATATTCAGCCAAGATGGATTTTGGCTCCTTCCTTTGAATATTTCACTTGGATTTTGTTGAATAGACCTTCCTGAATCCATATGTCTATGATCCATCACATAGAATGAATAAATCTGCTGACATTGCTATGTTATAAGATGGATCCAATAAACGGTACATCTAGAGAGAGCTGGAATGAGGGCCTAACAGCTTTTGTAAACAATGACTTCTATTGATTATTTCTAGGAATTCAAGGCACTCCCACGCAAACCAACATAAACGTCGGTTAGGGAAAGACTTCCCCTACCTGCTGGTGATATTGATTTGCTTGGGCGAGCCTTGAGTTTCTAGAAATCATCGAGAGAATTCATTGTTTACAAAAGCTGTTACGCCCTAGTTCTAGCTCTATCTAGATGTACCGTTTATTGGATCCATCTTATAACATAGCAATGTCAGCAGATTTATTCATTCTATGTGATGATTCAAGGATTCCATTGGATTATCACTTTAAAACTATGACTGCGATATGGAATGATTTCTATCGTAAT